GTTATCAATTTTTTGTACACAAAGTTAAAACATATTGTTACTTAACACGTGAATCGGTATATATATAACCATCACTTGTCACAGACACTTTTCTGATATAGGGAAACATTAGCAGGATTATTTTACATAATATGTGGGAATTTAAGGAAGACAGCATGTCTTAAGATAGGATGAGCATGATAGGAGTAGATCTCGTCAGCCATGGATGGCCAGAACTGACACGATATATGGGCAGATATGACCTCACTAAGGGCAGAGTGAAGGCACTTAAGGACAACCTTCTTTTGTTCTAGGGGCCATTTTCCTTTAGGGCATACTAAGTCTCTCTGGAGGCGTGGGTTTCATGGGAAGTAACATTCTGTTCGGCAAAATGAAAATCTGAACTGTGGACAGACTTGACGGATTAAATAAGACAGTTGTGAATATTATACATCTAACAGCCCACAAAGCTGTCTCTAGAAACATATACTAACTTAATAACTTCTATTCCTGCATCAGATTCACTCCCTAACCATCCTATCAATTTCTATTGAGATAACAAAATACACAATTAGAATATTTTCTAGCAAAAATTCCATTGCTAAAATCTTATCAGTAGCTTCTGAATAACTCTACAGAACACCGAAGAGACAGACCTAAATCGCAAGCATGTCACCACCCCCCTCCGCCCCCTCCCCCCCGCGTCTCACAGAAGCGAGGGGAGGGGGGGGTGTTTTAGCAGAGGGGGATTTGAGTGGAACAAGAGAGAGACTGCCTGCCAGCACGAATTTAACCATGTCAACGCTGTACAGTAACAAGACAGAAGGACAATTACATTTCAAAGCAAAGAGACACAAAAACACAACATTTCATTTAAACCCCCACCCTCTACCAGGGTAATGGCTAACACAAAATACAAAAACCCCACAGCGTTTTAAGATTGGGGTGGGATGGTGACCATGGTCAGCTACATTTCGGTCATTACTGACAGGATGATGGAAGTGGTCACCTCCTGGAACCCCGACAGGGCACTGGCTGGGATAACTTCCCAGTAACACAATTATTATGATATACATACAGTTCTTAACCCTTTATGATTTATCTCTTCCTCTACCCAACCCTCCTGCTGGATAGCCTTTCTACTCTGTACCATGCTTCAGCAGTACGCAATAAATCATTATCTGTAAGCTTGCCTTTCTTCTCTGTCAGTAATCTATGCCAACTTTCTGGTTGTAATCTACCACATGAAGGCACAGCAATTTTACACACTTTAGCAATCTTTGCAACATTTTTAACCAGTTCTTCACCTTCTCTATCTTCAACTAAATCACACGCGAGCCAGCCCCTAGCGGGCTTACTCGTTTCCTGTCCCATATCCCCCTATACAAAGCGTCCCAAGTATAGGTAAAGGAAAATGAAACAGAACGTCTACAATGCTCGACTGCCACTAGGAAGGGTGGGTCCCTCCCAGTGCGTCTTCCCAAAACGTAGACCAGTCACTGAATCCGTGTACCCTCGATGGTAACCACGGATTGGAGCGGGGTGAGAAGTGTGTGACCAATCACTTCTCTTTCAAGAGAAATAGGAGTGGATAGTGTAAATAGTACAGGAAGTAAAGTAAAAGTAAACAGTGAAAGTAGAGACAGACCCAGGAGTTTGAATGACTCCACACTTAAGACAACATTTAATACAACATTTCAATTGAAATACAGTGCATGCATCAACAGTAATCCCTTTCCTTTACTCTTGTGGCCACCAAGGCCACCTCCCTCAATCTCGTAGTGTCCCCGCTCGGAGAACAACTTTCGTAAGTTTCACTACCAGCGGCCAAGGATAACGACTAACACCGGCCCGAAATCCATATGCCTCCCTCGTTACAGCAGTCCACTAAGTGTGGCCACCTCTATCCTCACTCCCGTAGTGCTCCCTATGGACCCACTCACAAGTCACACTACCCCGTGGTGATGGAGACAACAATGCCTGCCCGAATCTACACACCACAAATAAATTGGAATGCCACCAGCCTCAGCGCTCGAAGCTGGAGGGTACCATAACCTCTGCAAGCAGAGCAACGTACACAATGAGGCTAGCTAGAATATCAAAGTGACGTAACCGGGAAACCCCAGGAGGCAAGTCCCCTCCACAGATCCTCCAACCCTTCTTTTTCCTTACTACTGTTAGCTAGACAGTACCTAAAAGAAGTAAACAGGAAAACAGGACCCCTTTGGAAAATCCCCACAGGTCCACCCCCCCTTTTTTCCCAACAGTCTGGGCCAAGTGACTCCTAAAAAGGGGTAAAAACAGGCAACAGAAGACCCCCAGGCAACCACCCACGGGTCCACCCCCCTTTATCCCAAAAGAGGGAAAGAACAAAACATATACCACTAGCACACCCAGGCAACAGATAGACTAAATGCAGGTAAACAAATGGGTAACAAGACACCGGGCAAGATATTACCTGTCTTTGATGCCCTCCCGGGAAGCAGTCACAGACACGTGGACGGGTCAATCAAAGGGGCTGGAACATACCGGTGGCTCCTGCAGAAGTCTCTACCGTGTACTCAGAGGTGATCAGTCTCTCTTCCTTCCCCCCCGATTCCTCCGTCCAACAGCGTCTTCCTTAGGACGGCTTACCGGCCGGAGGCCATAGCCCGATGCCCCACGTTGGATGGACGCCAAATGATGTAGATTAATTTAGAAATAAACAAAAATGTTTAAAAGTCTATCTGTTCCTGTCCAAATCTGAGATGAATAAATTGCGTATACGCAGAAGTAAGTTCACACTGACACATGCAGTTCAGGTTAAAAACACTTCAGGAAATTTATTAGCATCTAGTTAAAAAGCGGGCACGCAGGCCTTTTTATATGCAAAATGACATCATCATTGAATATCAGATAATAACAAATAAACATCATTAATTGGGTTAAATGTTAAGTGGCTATGTCAGTGTCCACCCATTAATATTATTAATTGGCTCAGAGATTTGAGTGACTAGTGAGGCACCCTCCCATCATGGGATGTCGTCGCCATTGCTCTTTAGCACGAGGCTTACTCGGTGGAAAGGGGGGGCTTGGGCATCATTTTACGTAGTTAGTGATGTCAGTCTCGTGGTCTGGTCCAAGGTTCTTTTATGAATAGAACATTTCATTTAGTCGCTGTTCTCCTGGCCTTGGATTATACTATGTTGCAAGTCAACGGAGATCCGCTAACTCCGGGGCTAGTTATGTCCTTAGAGAGAGAAAATACAATCTCTTATTCATTATATTGAATACTGTCATGTAAGGTGAACAAAATGGAGAGTTCTGTCACAGTGTGAGATTAAAATGGAGTTAGTACAATAATTCAATACAGGTTCTAATAAAGATTTTAATAATTCTACATCATCCTCACAGGAGAGAAGAACTCAATCTTTCTATGCACAAGGTGGTTGATTCTACGATTACCACAAGTCCGTGTCAGCCAAGGCGACAATTCATCTGGCCCAATTTAATATAGTAATAGACTGGTGCCAGATGGACACGGAACTATTCTGCCGCCATTTTGCTGGATTGAGGCCCCCGTCGTGTGCCGCTTGTAGCTCCACATCTCACTCTACAGACTTACCCCTAGGATAACCGTGGCCGGACCAGCATTTTGTCAAAGATTTTTTTGTTCTAAGACCGCTCTATCACGCACAAAGTGATAAACGTTATACTCAAGGTTGGTATCCCCATGTTGTCGTACACCTTTTAGGAGGCAAGCCCCAGCAGGTGTAGAGAACTGGCATTCAGGGTTAGGTGCTGGCCTTAACAAACTCGAAGTAGTTTACCGGTCCCACGAGGCCAACTCCCTACCTCACCACAAAATCATAGTTAGCCGCCTTGCTTGCCCTTCTTTAGGGCTACAGTTAGGGCCTCCTATGTCACGGCCACATGTTTTTGAATCTCTAATGGTCATCAAGAGGCCTTCATCCCGCCACCACGTCAGTGGCCACGACTTCCC